TGTAAGTCATAGTTAGCTGTCTCTGGATTCCCAGATCACTGCAATATCCAATAAAATCTGCAGAAATGAACTCTCCTCCTCTATCACTTCTGAGGCATTTTACCTTATATCCACATTGTAGCTCAGTCATTGCCTTAAATTTCTTAAAACATCCAAATGCATCAGACTTATTTCTCAAGAAATATACCCATGACATCCTTGTGCAGTCATCTGTGAATAACAAGAAATATCTATTTCCAGAATGAGATTCGACTTGCATTGGACCACAAATATCTGTGTGAACTACCTCCAGTGGATCCTTAGCTCTCCAAGTCGATTTAGAAGGAAATGAGTCTCTGTGTTGTTTGCCTAGCATACACCCTTCACACACACTTGTTGACATCTCTAACTTAGGCAATCCATGTACTAGATTCTGTTCTTCAAGTGCTTTAAGACCTCCTTCATGCAAGTGACCCAGCCTTTTATGCCATATCTTAGAGCAGTGTATGACACTAGCTTTTAGAGCACACTGAGTGACTGGCATCATTGTCAAACGAAAACATCTATTTGCAGTCATATGAACTCTTACTACCAAGTTGTCAAGTGACCAACCATCAAATACATTCACTACACCACCTCCAAACAACAAATAATAACCGTGTTCCATCATTTGTCCTACACTGAGAAGGTTTTCCTCAAGTCCAGGAACAAGCATCACTTCTTGTATATGTTTTCTTCCCAGTTTAGTCTCAATCACCAAGGTTCCCTTTCCTGCCACCTGCACAACCTCTCCTGTGCCCATCTTTACCTTTGAGGTCAAATTTCTTTGAACATCAACCAACAATCTCTCATCACCTGTCATGTGGTTGCTACAGCCACTGTCTATATACCATGAATTATTTACCTTCACATCTGTCACTGCATTGCAAGCATAAAACAATGATCCCATTTCTCCCATCTGCCTTGCATAATTTGCCTTCTGTATCCCCTTGTTCTCATGACAGTCTTTTACAGAATGTCCTGGTTTCCCACAGCCAGTACATTTTGGTTTGCCTTCATACCAACACTTCCCATAATGTAATCTATCACACCATTTGCAATCACCCTGAGAATTGTTTTGTTTCTGAGTATAATTAGGCCTATGATCCCAATTCCTTTGAGTGTTGTTCTGTCTCTGAGCATAAGTTAGGCTTATGATCCCAACCTTTTCCTCTTGATTTCCAATTCTCTTGAGACCTGTGATTCCCAGAAAATCCACCACTTCTAGCACCCTTAGTCGCAACAATTAAACTTGCAAATGCTTTCTCAGTAGAAGACTCAGCATGTAAATCAAGCCGTTGTTCAAATCCTTTTAGAGAAGCCACAACCTCTTGAACCTCAATAGTTTCAAGATCTCTAGAGTGCTCAATTACAGAACAGATAGCATCATATGTTTTAGGAAGACTAATCAATAATTTCTGCACTATTCTCTCCCTAGATAATTCTTCTCCATAGCTTTTCATTTGATTAATGATATCAAACAATCGAGAGAGATATACAGATAATGGTTCACTATCCTTCATACGAGTATATTCAAAATCTCTACGTAACCCTTGTAATTTTACATTTCTTACTTGTTTATCACCTCGAAATTCACCTTTTAGAGCATCCCAAGCTCCTTTGGATGTCTCCTTATTCACGATTCTGGGAAAAATCTGATCCGAGACTGCGCCTTGAATCATCCCAATCGCACGAGCATCCTTCATCAGAATCTCGCTGAACGACACTTCACTTGACGTCTCCTTCTTCGTCTCGTCACCCGTAGCTACTTTAGACTTTGGATCTGACGATTCGAACCCATTATCAACCAGCTCCCATAAACCATGAGATTTCAGAATGGTCTTCATTCGAATACTCCAGAACTCATAATTCTCTCCATTGAAAACTGGAGCTCTAAGCTCAACACTACCGGATCCAGCCATATTAGACTTGAATCAAAGCAATCGTAAATTTCCAGATTCGATTTGAGCTCGAGTATGCAGCTCAATCGATCTTCACGAACTCACAGATTTCACGCCCAGATTAGACGATGAAACCAGGCTCTGAGGCTATGTTATTGTTTGTGTTTGGTAATATAAGCTCCAATGGAGGCTCTGTGCAAGAGGAAAGACAGAGAGAGTTTTCGAAGAAGATGAAAGGAATTCTGCACTTATCATTTCACACACCGAACACACAAAACACTTTGTTACCGTTGCACATGGAAGGAAGGGAGATCCTTCACACTCCAATACACAGTATAATCTCAACCATTCATTGGTATTATCCTATGAGATAATGCCACATGTCTAATTCTATTACTTAAACTAAATACAACATTAAGAAACCATGTGGACTATGATCCAATGGCTGACATTCAAACTGAAACAAAAATACATTTTCCAAATGATCTCAGCCATCAATTTCCAGCTGAAGGGTTACATTCCAACACACACTTGCTACGCTCAGTGCATTTGGATGAATCAGTATAAGGTCGGCCTCCTAAACCAAATGAATTGGACCGATTCTGAGGAGGGATGGTTACAAACAACCAACGCTTCCATCTTTTCCCCCTCGCCGTTTATAGCATCCGTCTGACTCGCGACGTACATAGGCATAGGATGCTTGAAGGCTCATGGTTGGTTATTTGCGCAGAACCTCACCACGAACTTGTTCAAACTTATCATCACGGCCTCCCAGGATAGGATGGACTCGTTGATGCTCCTATGATTCTTGATAAATCTTAATATCATTTTCACAACTCATGGATACCTTACTGTAGTGATCTAACTCCTGAAAATTTTCAGTGAGTTCACCAAAGTAAGTAGACACAGGCTTCCCATTTGGTTGGAGGTGAGATGCTCAAGGTATAAACTCGCATTTTATTCTTCTCATCAAATAAAGCAGCCTTCAAGGCTTTCCAAATGTCAGTTGCAGTCGGTAACCGAGTATATTGCTTCATCAATTTTGGCTTCATGGAGGATAGAAGCCAGTTCTTGACTTTCTGGTCCTCAGAGTACCAATCATCGTACATATGATTGTCTTCATCTGAAGCCTTACTCGAGCCACAAAAATATACCAACTTCTTTCTTCCGACTATGTGCATCTCAATGAGAGGTGCCCATAGGTCATAGTTGTGTTCATCATGCAACACTCTAATATTAAAATTGAGTTGTTTGACTGAACAACAATCGAAGCAACGAAAGACTGGATTCGGTGGTATCGGTGATGGACTTAAACAATCGATTCCTGGAAATTGAATCGAGTAGACCTGCTCGTCAAAGCAGAGGATCGAAGATAATAGGAATCAAGCAACGGTTGTTGCGTTTTTTGGGCTGGTCGCTCAAGAGCAACACGGCATAGGATTAGGGTTTTGATTTTTTTTTTTCAATTAAACAGGCGTTGGTTTTAGGGGTGGGTTCGGTTTCGATCAGTTTGGTTTTTTGCCAAAACCGAAATTTGGATTTGGTTCTGTTCATTTTTTTTGGCTTTTTATTTGGTTAGGTTTTTTTGGGCTTGCTTTCGGTTCAGTTCAGTTTTTTTATAAAACTTTTTTTTTTTTTTTTAATTTGAAAATTGGTCTATGCTCTACAACTTTGCTTACAGTTTTTTCATTCTAGGGAAAGAAGGAAGGAAAAAAAAGAGAAAGAGAAAGAAGATGCAGGGAGGGTCGGGTGGGGAAAATGAAGAAATTAGACAGTTGGATGGGGAAAAAAATGGAAGAAAGAAGAGGGTTAAGTGGAGAGAAGAAAAATGACTTGGATTATGGGTTAATGGTTCGCCTAAAATAAAAGCTTAAAACTTGGGTTTAAACTTAAATTGGGCTTGGAATATAAACACTCAAATATTAAATTAATAAATAAACTTAATTATATTTAATTCGGTTCAGTTCGGTTTGGTTTGATTTTTGAAACACCGAAACCGAAACCGAACCAATAACTTTTGGTTTGGTTCAGTTTGGTTTTCTTACTTTAGTTTTATGTTTTTTGTGGTCAGGTTTTTTTTGGTTTTCGGTTTTTCCAACCCACCCCTAGTTAGTGCTAGTCGATTTGGAGAATAATGCTTCTATTCTTCTTGTAAGGAGGTGATATTTATACAATACAAGACACTAAAGTTCTGAAAATGGACAATGCTATGAAGGCCAAATTTTTAAACCAAGTTTGCAAACCAAGCGATGTGACACTAATGAGAAATAAACAGGTTAACCAACACTTCAGTAATAATCCAATAATCAACCACATCATTTATTTACAAAATTTAGTTTAAAAATTTGGTCTCCCTAACCTTACTCTTTTGAAATTGCGAATGATTATGTGACTGAAAGTCAAACATGAGTGTAGAGTAAGATTCCTACCTCAACTAAAAGCAAGTCTACTCCTCCTTTGGAGGTTGGCCCAAAGTCTAAAAAAAAAGGTTGGCACTCCAAAAACCCACTCCACCCCACAAAATAGACCGGCCCAAAGTCCACCCCAGTCTTTAGGTTAGCCTAGAATGGGCTGAGTGAGGAACTGGCCTATTTGACGTCAACCATGGCTGATTCCTTTTTTTTTTAATGTTAGAATCTCACCGTGGGCCACGTGTCCACTTTTGGGTTGTTGAATTTCAACCTTTTGAAATCCAACAGCCTAGATTAATTAACTTAATAAAAAATATTTAAAATTATAGAAAAAAAAATTAAATGATTTTTTTAATATATAAATACCTAATCATCTTCTACAAAAATTGTATTTTCGAAAAATGACACATGACATAACAAGATTGGTTAGAAATTCTATCCGAAATTAAAGATAATTTTTTTAATTATTTTATAAAAAAATAATAATATTTTAATACGAATTGACTAGAAGGGCTAACTTATTTTTTAGGGATGGAGATACACTTGATCAATTATTGTTTAATCAAGTTAATTACTATTGATTTAGGTGGAGGAGGTGGACTTGGTCCGACTAATCACTGGACATAAAAAAAATTAAAAATGCAAGATTCTTTGCTTGCAAAATGCCTTCAAGTTTGAGAGAAAGAAGCCACAGTTTCCTGTCCCACAATGCTGCTTTTCGTGTTGGTCTTGTCTCTTGTGGCTCAAGCCTGCTCGCCATCTCCAACTACCCAACAACCAAACAAAAAAACTGATCAACATCTCAAAAGCATATTCATCCTGGCCGGACAGAGTAACATGGCGGGTCGAGGTGGCGTGGTTAACAACACCACCACAGGCATCGCCACCTGGGACGGTGTCGTGCCGCCAGAGTGCCGCCCCAACCCATCAGTCTTCCGGCTCAATGTGAATCTCACGTGGGTTAAAGCAAGCGAGCCTCTCCATGCCGACATTGATGTGGAGAAGACCATTGGGATTGGACCCGGCATGGCGTTTGCCAAAGCGGTATTGGCCAATCACTCTAGTACCGGTGGTCGGATTGGGTTAGTCCCCTGTGCGATCGGCGGTACTAACATAACCGAGTGGAGACGTGGCTCCTTTCTGTACAACCAGATGATCAGGAGGGCCAAGGCTTCGTTGCAGAATAGTGGTTCGATCAGAGCACTTCTGTGGTATCAGGGCGAGAGCGATACAGCTAGTAGAGAAGACGCTCTGTCTTATAAAAACAGATTGGAAACTTTTTTTGGGGATGTACGTTTGGATCTGGAATCTCCTGATCTCCCAATAATCCAGGTACGATTACTTAGTATTGTTAATTAAGTACTCAGTTTTTGTTTATACAAACGATAAAATTCTGGTGTGGCATTCGAAAGTAAGAGGATAAACACACCGTCCTAGCTAGCCAACTCGCGCAACTCACAGGGACATTAATACATGGTTTTACTCTTTTAGATTTTCAGCTTCTTGCCTTAGCTTCCATTTATTCCTTGATCTCGTTAATCCAAATTTAGCAAAGGCAGATTTTCCTAATTTCTGTATGATGTCACGTTGTTAGCTAGGTTTAGATATTTTTAAAATGTAAGAAGTTGACGAAGTCGGTATCACTGTTAACTAATTTAATTACAAGTTTGATCGATTCCTAGGTAAACCTAGTGCAACTTGGTATTTCTTAATGTGATATGAATTATATTCAATTGAAATGGTAAAAAAAATTAATAAAGGGAATTCACATCTAAGCTGAGAGTTGAAATGAAGAGACAGAATCGATGGGCAAATTGTTTCATTTCATTTTCGAGGATTGGATTATCACAATGTACATGCTTCGAGGTCCTGCCCTGGTATGCATGTGTGTGTGACTATGTGTTATATTATAACAAAACTAATAAAATAATGTCGTTTGGTAATCAACTGAAATGCAATAAGGTCTATTCTAAACGCGTTTAACTTTAAATGTTCTTTAAAAAAAAGAACGTCTTGCAAAGAGAATTTCTAGTGAGATAGCGTGTGACTTTGTCTAAATTAGTGAAGGACTAATTAGTTGGTTGATAATGGTGTGTCTGCAACTCTAGAAATAACAGTGCGTGATGTGTGTTGGTTGTATAGGTGGCTCTAGCATCTGGGTATGAAGCAACACTGATAGAGATAGTTAGAGAAGCCCAGCTGGGAGTCGACCTTCTAAACGTGAGAACCGTCGACGCCAAAGGCCTGCCACTGGAGCCTGATGGCGTACACCTCACTGCCCCTGCCCAGGTTGAACTTGGGAAAATGTTGGCTGATGCTTATCTTCAGTTCCTGCCCAGCGCCATAAGTAATGCTCCTGCAACATACCCTAATTATGTTTTCCAATTTGTACTTTATTTGCTACTGAAATTTCTCACCACGAGCTAGCTAACTTGTTACTTCATTCGTAGTGTTTACAAATTGAAATGTTTGTATTTATTAGGGTTTTGGCCAGGCTACTATCCTATGATTGACTTTGTACTATGATAAACAGGGGCGGAGCTACATGGAGGCTAGAATGTGTTAGGACCCATTTTGGAATTTCACCCATTCAGACGTGTTGTTTCCTGGTTTATTCAATAAAGAGTATATGGTCCATTGGTGGAGTGGAGTTTAATGTTTCCAGCAAGCCATGAGTTTGAGACTTGTTTATGCAGACAATTTTCTGATTCTTATACCATCAAGCTTTATAACTAGCCTTCTGTTTTATCATAGAAGCTTTCTGATGCCAATAACCTTTTGATTTTTTTAAACTAATTCCCTTTTTGTCAATTCCTATAAAACAACATCTATACAATTTAGAAGAAAATCTAATTATGTTGAAAGAAAAATCTAATAGTAACAGTTTTGAGCCAACCATGATTTTAAATTTTTGTTCAAATCTAATATGTTAATCATTTTTTTATTAAAGCTCGTGAACAAGCTCTATTCTTATGATATAACAAACGCAATACTAATTTTTTTCGTACAAATTTTAAATCTTCATCATATTGTTTGATTAAATTCTTCATGACAATACAAAGCAACAACAAAAAACCTTAGATTGTTCTCCAATTAATTATACTTGTAACTACTGTTTTCTAATTTCTTTCATTTGGCTTAAGGGCCCCTCCTGTAATGAATTTCTGGCTCCACCACTAATGATATACATATCATTTTTGTAGCGCATGCAATAAGATGTGGTAACTGACCATAAAATTGTTTACCCTCTGCTAATAAATTTGGTTTGGTTTTATGATCCTTGTGCTTCAAGCATTAGCATGGTAAATGATAGCTAAGAGCATCTCCAAGAGATGCTGTAAAACAACTAATACCCTATTTTTAAACTTGTTAAAAAATACTCTATTTTAAAATAGTCATATTAAAAAAATTCATGTTGTAAAATAGTCTCTATTATAGCAAATGAACAATCACTCTTTAAATTTAGAGTGCAACTGTTCACGTGCTAAATATTCAAAAAAAAAAAAAAAAAAAACAACAACAACAACAATTAAGGTTGAACCCTTGAGCAAGGAAAACAAGAAGAGTGAAGGTGGTTTCAGAAAATAAATGAGTAGGGTTTGAATTGTTAATAATAAAATATTTAAATTTTGTTAAAATAACATTTATTGCTAGAGATGAAAAGGTAAATTGAGTAGCTAAGTAATTTTTTTTTATATTGTTCATTTATTAGTTTAACAAAAACTTAGAATTTTTGTTAGAGATGCTCTGATGCGCTTATCAAATGGTACGAATTCATCGACTACGATGAAAAAGTATGAAGAACTAAAATCCAAAGGGCCCAATAATTCATTAAACCGAGTCGATTGGATGCCCATGTAAGTAGGGGTGGTATTGGTACGATTATCATACCAAAATTCATGTACTAATTTCACCATACTAAACTTTTGATACGGTAAAATTTTTTACTATTATTGTGCTAAACTTTCAGTATACCGAATTTATGCATGCCAAATAGTTCAGTTGACATGGTATGGTAATGGTAATTATCACTTTGTTTTGGATCACTCTTTTGGGCCAAACTTTGGTTTTTTTCCAACCCAATTCAAGGCCCAAGAGTGTTTTGGCCACTCTCTTTGGGTTTCTAAAACTTTTTTATTTAATTATGAAAATTTTATAAAGATTCTTTTAAGAAAAAAAGAAGTAAATAGATGGAAAAAATTGTTGAAAGAACTCAGCATTCCTAAAAAAAATAGTACAAAGATTCCTAAATACTGCGGAGAGAGAGTCGCCAGAACAAGAGCAACAGAAATGAAATCGATGGCAAGATGAGTGAAAAGATGAAGTCACAAGGCTTAGGTTTTTTTTTTATTGGGAAAGTAGAGGTTAAAGGGTGAGATGATGGTTTTGGATAAATGACTAGGAAAAAAATATAAAGTGCATATATAATGATAATAATACTAAATTATATATAAATGACTAAATAAATAATATAATATTAATAGTAGTGGTACAATACGATATATTACTGATAATGGTTTTGAATACTATTATCGTACCGAGAATATATAATACGATACAAATATCGTATCATTACCAAAGGTACAAATTTTTTCAAACAATTTTAATATGGTACAGTTGGAATGGTAATTTGGCAAAAAGTATGTAAGATAAACACCTCTTCCTGCTTTTGCTTAAGGGCTGGCTCTAAAAGCGACAAGAACACGGCCCATATATCCAAATACCCAATTAAATGGATGCAGATTGTCTGCCCTCCTATTTGAGTGCCTTTCCTATCCCTTATTATTTTGTACAGTCATGATTAACTCATATCAACATCTTATGTTGATTTTTTTTTATAAAGATAATAAGACAAAAAACAATAGAAATATAAAACGTTGACGTGGTTTAATCGTATCTGCATAAATAAGAGAAAATGAGAAAGGAACCCAAACAAGAGAGCAGACAATCTGCCTTCCAATTAAATTCAATCCGAAGGAGGCCTAACAATTCTGTGTATTATGGATAATGGGAAATCTCTGGCTTCTGACAACGTATGTTCATCAAGTGTGGGAATATAAATGACGAGGAACGATGATACACGGCTTTTTAGCTCAAATTGTCTAGAAATTGACATGGTTTTTTATTTTAATTTTTGAGATTTGAAATTAATAGAAGTGATTCTTAAGTTTATCTACAGTTAATTTTTATTTTTATTTTTAATTTTTTTTGTGAAAAAATGTCAATTAAATAATAACTAAAATGATAAAAATATCTAACTTTTTTATAATCTATATAAAACGAGTTCATCGTCACATAATATTTTTATGTGAAGAAATTATAACGAGACAATATTATTAAATAAAAATGCCTCGTGATTGTGAACTCATTCTAAGTAAGTACTCTTTACCATAGGATACGTGGACGCAAAGCGGACAGCTCACATGATACGTGCCCGTCCCTGGTGCCCCCTTCTTTCCACACTATGGCTTGACCGCGACGAACTAAACTATATCTACCATCTACGCCTTGACCAGCTGATCATGTTATGTTTTGGAGGTGCAAGTTTCAGACTAAGTTGCGTTTCGCAACATGAATATTTCAAACGTATGCATTCATCGTTTTCTTAATTTTATACCATATGTTTAATATTTGTTTGAATATTTTTAAATTAACAATTATTTGGATTATCTAGTAACTCTGCGTTCTGTTTTGAATTGTGTTTTTGGCAGGGAACTGAAGAAATAAACGAGCAAGGAGCGGTGGAATTCAAGGTGGACACAGTAGATTGTCGGTCGCCGGCAGGGGAAGACAAACAGCCCAAGAAGGAGAAGGTTGAGGTGGTTCATGAGATTCGAGATGGTGGAAATAAGGGGGCTGCAGGAGGAGGTAGTGATCGTTGATCTTGATGCAACTGCTGCAGTTGCACATACCCTTGAGTCAGCCAAGGATGCCATTTCTGGAAGTGACGAAGATAAGATCACCAAATGAGTGAGAGGCCATTATATATGAGACTATGTATTTATAACTTGTCGGATTAATATGAACTGATTATTTAGGCCTTGAAATTTTTAAGCCCTCAGACATACGTACTCATTTCTTTTGTAGAACAAAATAAATCTTTACAACCATATACACAAAGACTACAACATTTTAGCGAAAAAAAATGGAAGATGAAATCGATTGTCTGAAGCGGAACATAAAATCGACTGTTGAAGCTCAACGTGAGGTATGATGATTTTATATTTTATTATCTTGCATCAAATTTCGAGGATGTCAAATTGTTGGTTGAATCCTTAATCACGAGCTAGTTTCCACAATCTACTAATGTTGTGAAGATATTTCCGTGAGTTTTTAAGGAAAATAATTTCTATAAACGTTTCAAAAATAATTTCTATAAGCATATGCCAAAACACCAGTTCCAAGATTGGCATGCATGTGTTGAAGCTTTACATGTTTAAGGATAATTTGATTAAGTAGTTGTATTAAGATAATAATCTAAAAAGTAGGTAAATGTCGGCAGAAGAATCCACGGTACCTACGAGTCATCCCCAATCCCTTCCCTCCCTGGTGCAGATGAGGGAACAAAACTAGATGGCCGGGAGCTTTTAAAAGTTGTGTTATCTTATCCAAATTATAGCAGGTGCGAGATTTCCATTGGCCCACTGGTAATTTGGTAATGCTTTCAAAAAAATCTCTAGTGACTTTAGCCTCCGTCGCAATGTCTTGCTTACCGACATAAGTCCATTACAAAATAAATAAATAATTAGCGAAAAATCTAAAAAAACTTTAGTTTTAATGAAAAATGATAAATAAATGTATAGTAAATAATATCAAAAAAAAGTAAAAATGTGATTTTTCGTTTTCGTTAAAAATAAACAATACCGAAAATGATTAGTTAAAACTCTTAATAAAAAAAGTAAAAAAGCAAAAGAAATTTGTGCTGAGCTGCTACACAGAGATACGTGGACACGAATCGGGCAGCTCACAAGATACGTGTCAGGCGATGGTACGCCTTCAACTCGACGAAGTAAACTATATATCTAGGCGCACTGGCCAACTAATTTCATATAATCTGTAGGTGGAAGTTTGAGAATTGTCCGAGTTGAATTTTGCTATATGGATACTTCGAAGGTAGGAATTTCATCCATCATTTTATTTGTGCTATATGTTTTGTTAGCGTAGTGATTCTGCGTCTGGTTTTTTAATTAATTGGGTTAAATTTTGCAGGGATCAAGTGGAGAAACAAAAGAGGACATCAAGGTGCAGACAGTGGATTATCGATCACCGGCGGGAGAAAACAAAGAAGCCAAGAAGGAGGACGTTGAAGTGGTTCATGAGATTCGAGACGGCGGAGCAAAGAGTGAGGGTGTTCACCCTTTTGCAGGTGCGGCTGCTGCAGTGGCAAACAGCATTCAATCAGCAAAGGATGCCATCTCTGGCGGTGCCAAAGAATCCAAAGATGATAAGGCCACTGAATGAGTGAGAACAGGTGCACGATGACATGATATTATGTAACGTTTGCTTGTTATTCGACGGAAATAAAAGCTTTATTGGCACTGTGCACATATATTTGTGTTTCTTTGTACTTGTTTTGTTAGGCATAATAAACCTATATGGTTTACTTTTGTTGCAAATATTTGTTAGAAATTGAGCGATTGCAAGTTTTTAAGAGATTTATCATCCATCTCATTCCCTCATCAAGATGTGCTCCGAGTTTTTTATCTTCATTTGCTGAAGAGTTTTTCCCTCATAA